AAATGGGTGCTCGTCCATCCAAGACAAACATCACGGTGTTAGTATACATTTATCATTTGACTGACTGGTGCTTAAAGACATGAGGTAATGGATCCTAAGGAATCTGTAGGGCCGGGGTCAACCACCCTCAGCCACCCGACGCGCACTTTCGTCGCACCAGTCAGTCTTAAGTGAGTCGCCCAGTGAGTCGCGTGGGGGAGCCTGTGAGACCACAGCAGTCCATACCAGCACCAGAACCCTCCGAACTGCGCGAGCCACGGTTCAAGCAGAATGGGACTGTACTCAGAAGGTGCGTCCACCCAAGCAGTGCAGAGACCAGGGCGCCCTGATATGGTCCAGTACTCCCAAATCCATTCGTATCGACTGGGCCCCACTCGTACCGACTTAGAAGGTATGACTGGACCCGACAATGGCACCCACCCCAGTCCCACCTTCTCCTCGCAAGGTACGAAGGGGAGCCCTAGGGATTCTTTAAACAACATGCACATGTCTTCAGTGTTCGCTTGACTCCAACGGCTGGCCCATTGCTCCTGATTCCAAGTGTGGTTGGAGCCTCAAGGGCCCTAGGGTCGAGCAATCTAGATGTTCCACTTTGGGCCGCCTCCTGGACGCGTTACGAACGAACCCACCGTTGACCACGACGACGGAACGCACATCGCCTGAAAAGCGGTCGTCTCCAAGAGCTGGCAGCCCGTGGCATGGTCTGATCGGAAGAGACAGGCAGTGGTGGATGACCGAAGTGAAGACTGAGAGGTTAGCGAAAATCCTAGTATAGTCGGTTAATATATATTATACATATATCTTGAAAGTATGGAGATGAGTGTTTCGGTGTTTAGTATGTTCAGAAAATAACTACCAAGTTGAACACAGATTGAACGCAATTCTGGGTTCAGAATGCTTTAAATTTGTTGTTGTTTTTTCAAATACCATGCAGGCGACACTGCGATACTGCGGAGTCCGATGAACCGTATACGGTAACCCCAAAACACGAGACTTGCCCAAGCCATTCTGCTTTGGTTTTGTCCTTCTGGAGACTGGCCCAAAACTAGGCCATGGATTGGAAGGAAGGGATTTTTGCTGAAGTTCCCACACCACTCTCTAGACAAGTCCATGTAAAGGGAAGACTCGAGTGCAAATCAAAATGAAACAAAGAGAAGAAGAGTGTCACTTTTTGAGCTCCACACACATGATGACCAACACCTGGATCTGAGAAAGGATGCCTGGTCTGATGTTCCATGCCGCCCCCCAAAATAGCATGGTCGACGCTGCAAGAAATCTTCATCAACCCGTGCATCGATCATATTCTGATTGGCTTTCATGAATGTGGGGAATCCACCATGTCTTTTTTGTCGAAGCCACCACTGCTTAGGTGGTCGACTTCACACGCACAAAGCCAAGCTTTGCCAGGCCTGGCCTTGCTTCCGCCTGTGATCTCGCGCGCAGGCTGGAAGGAAGAGAGCAGGGAGGGTGAGGTATTCGTAGTACTTGTAGGGTGGAATCGGACTTTCACTGCCCGCCTCAGTATCCACAGGAGACTAACTCCTGCATACCTCTGTGCTTTTTCTGCTCCCTTTTTTAGTAGAGTCGCCATAGACTCATATCAAATCTCATAGAATTATATATATAACATAGTTATTTATAGTTATTATATATAGATATAATTTATATAATGTATACCAGAACCATCCAACGGGTCACCAATGTATTAATAGACACGGGGATGGTCAAATGAAGGAAACCAACAGGGATCCCCAAAGTTGGGGCTTTGGAAGAGCATATACCCAGAAGGCGGTTGCCGGTTGCCCATCAAATAGATGACTGAGAGCCAAAAGGGATCCAAAAAAACACTCCAGCTACGGGTCCCTTTTTTGGGCGCGCCCCATCAAAAGCCCCAACATATCCCTACAGAGACAAACATCAAGAGAAATATCATTCTCCCTGTTGTTGTAGAAGAAAATGGTCGGGGACCATTTTCCACTTCCACGATCTGGGAGTGGTTTTACAACATGCGCAAAACCTCGCGACGGGCAGTGCCTGACCATGTGGGGCAGTGCTAAGACCATCCAGGCTGTGGCATTCGCCCAGGTCACCAAAGGCACCACCTCAACGCGAACCCACGATGCGAAGAACATAATGTCGAGGCAAGTGATCAAAACCACAAACGCATCTGTTGCAGAGACTGGAAGACTTGGGGAAACCTTAATATATACAATATCTAATATGCATGTTGCAAGGCTTTGGTCAGTTTCAATCGATATGTTTGCTTTCCAGAATGTCTTTTTCACTTTAGGAAGGCCGGGCAAGGCCAGGAAATCACACGAATCACCTGTGCCTATGCCCCTGGGAGTACTCCTACCAGTGAGCAACCCGGAGTTCTGGGACCAGGCCCACCACATGGCACAAAAAGACATGCAGTATCAATGTTGCCTCATACAGCCTTAACAACGTAGCGAAACATCTGTGACCGCAGCGAAACATCTGTTGGCCAACGAGTTCTGCATTGATGGCCGCATCGAATTACCTGGTTACAACGATTCTCTGCATCTCTTGCTTTCGGAGTACACACCAAAGGGCTCAAAGAATTCTCCTTTCAAAGGTACTGTGACCAGGCTGGGGCCGATGCACCGATGCACCCGCCGATTTGTTCTCTCATCTCTCCAGCCGGTCAGGCTCTCGAGCGGAGTGATGCTGAAGCTGAAGTGTATCCACCTCCAAGCAAACAGGAACTTCAGAGCAACAATCTCGCAGGCACCGCTGTGCTTCTCTTTCATGAAGCAAAAGAACCAAACGTCTAAGTGGAAAGATGCAAGACACCCCAAAATAAACCAAACATTCCCGCTTTCATGAGCATGATATCTTTGCAGCAGGTGACCAGGTGTGTTGAAGCAAAAGTGGGTGGCTGTCTGGGGACAAAAGACTGAAAGATAAATAGTGTGAAAAGGACATTGCGTTGTTTCGCTTTCTTCCAGGGCTACGTGGATGGAACACTCGAAGAAAGCCCAGGAAGAGGAGGATGACCCCCCCCCCCCTTTGGCCTCAGCAGCTCTCGCCAGCTGAGCCACCTTAGGAGCAAAACATGGGAAGGCATTACCTGTATCACTCCCAAACAAACAGAATACATACCAGGAGCAGGACCTTCAAAGTGACCTCTTTGGAGTCTGTAAGTGACCTATTTATGGACTCAGTGACCTCAAACTGGGATCTCAAAAGGTCACTTTGAAGGTCCTGGTAGATATGACCTACATTGAAAACCACCAAAATCACCAAAGGCAGGCGATGGTTGCGGCACCTTGGATCATCAGGCACCTCTTCTTTTGTGTGCCTCCGTTTCCCAAACGTTCATAGGCACTCTGTTTCTTGGGCACTCCATGCGTCCCGTCCCGTTGTTTCAAAAATCCGTGAGCGTTTCCCCACTTTCTCCCGGTCTGGAAAGATTAACACTTAAAGTTTCAAGGATCCAGTTTGCCCATGGTTGCGAGCTTTAAATCAGTTGAAGCTCAACAAAGATCAAAATTGCGATTGCGCAAGACTACTGAGGGAAACGGGGCTAGTTATTCAATGGTCCTTGATCGTGGTTTCTACGTGAAACTGCTATTCCAGAAGCCCTGAGCCACAGAAATGCAGTTGAAGGTTGATGTACTCGACCAATCGCCGTCGTCCGAAAGCGGCCAAGGAGCACTCACCCATGAGGCTGCTATGGCCAAGAGTAGCAGACTGCTCTCCAGCAGACCCGCCTGCTGAAATGGAAAAAAAGAGGGCGTGCCAATTTGGGGCCAAGACCTCCCTCTCTGGAGCAAAACTCAAACACCTCCCACCATAGAAATTGAAAACCAAATTGCTATACACTTGGATGCAAAGAGACCTTTGCATCCGCCAACGTCGCAACCGGCTTCCACCGGAAACAACAAAATCACTGAACCATGCACCCTCAATCTTGGTTGATGTCATTGATGTTTCAACTCAACACCGCCTGTAAATGGGAACAAACGTCTCACGCCGGCATTCAGCAGCAGTTCCGAACAACTCAAGCGAGGAGCGGCCAATGCACCCTCTGATTCAAAACCAGAGAACCCTGAGCTTGCTTTTTGTGTCGTACCTGCATCGTACCTGCAGCATCCCAAAGCCACGGGTTCTCACCTCTTGAGGACGTCAGCTCCACTTGACACAACCAAGTTTGATGGCCCATCTGTACTTCACCGCGCAGCATGGTAAAATGGTTCCAACTTCTTGGGAGTCCATCTACAAGAACAATTAAGAACATGCCCATATGAATAATAGGTCACGAATGGGATCTCATTTTCTGAAATATGACACTTTATGCATGATTCTTCCTCAGATCTAACGACCTGCATGTGGAGCTCACGACCTGCAAGCACAGCAAGATCTCTCAGTTCGCCACACAGCACGACCTGGACTGGAGCACAGCGAGGCTTGGCAGGTCGACCCGCGTTCTCCAAGCGTCTAGAGACGTACCGAGCAAAAAGTTGCTCAACATGCGGTGAGAACCAGAAAACCCTTGGTACGCCAAGCGTTAAACGAGCGTTTCACAAGCGTTCATCACGCTCGGACCCTATGTAGGACCCTTCATCACGCTCGGTTTCATCACCGCGTGAAACGTCCCACAGATCTTCCGCTCACTTCGAGTTGACTACCTGCCAACTACAGCAATTTTGCTCACGCAAAACAACCACATGGAAGAAATTGAAAGGGTGGATGCTCATAAGTATGCTTGCTAGTTACGGCGTATATGTCCAGTGCAGCATGAACGCCAATGGGAAAGATTTGGAGCAAGTGCTTGAAGGCCAGCCCAGGGCTGTGTATTGAAACGCCTGAACTATGTGTCCAAACCAACACCGACACAGAGGGTCTGCTGAAGAGACCTAAGCCACCCACGGATGGCAACTTCAGGAAGTCACTGCCTGAAAAACTGGAGAAAAGGGTTTTGTATCTGGACAATGTGGTTGAAAGGTAAGGATGGCTCGTAGTATGACAAAGTAGTTAGTAGTTCAAAGGATGGCTCATGTGGTAAATGAATGTAAATGAGCTGAAGCAGCATCGTTGCAACTTAAAGTTGGTCACGGAACCGATGGAACTAGCTCTGCAGCTAAACATGCAATGTGTGAAAGACGCACGCGGAGTGTTATGTTTTCTGCGCTGCTCGAAATGTTGTCTCCTCGCATGTCCTCATATCAAAGCCGAGCCTTTGGCTGGATTGAGCTGATCTTTGTACTGGATGTCGCCCAGCAAAATTCCTGCACGCATTCCGAAAGCGATGCAGTTGGTCTTATCCATCCTCTTCAAGTCCTCTGGCTTCTTGAACGAGTGCATGTCGATTCTGCGTGGGAGCTCCTGGCGAACAAACTCGACCATAGCATTGGCGGTGGTCATTGAGGTGCAAGAAGAAGTCTCATTGCAATCCGTCAACTGAATTCCGTCCACTTTGATCTTTGACAGGTGCATCAGCGCCTCACTCTTGCTAGCAAACAGCTTCACTCGCACACAATGATCGGCAAAGAGAAAGCCGTACTTTTTGCCCTCTGCATCAAAATCACCTTAAATCAAAATCCCAGCGTGGTAGCGACGCCCGCCATCTGCCTCTCCCTTGCCGATCACGAATGACTATGTGAAGGGAATCTTGTGATTCGTGATTGTTGTACAGCAGAGACAGGAGTCAAAGGTTATATGTGAGACTGGTTTTCGATTTTGAAGGTCAACATCTGATCCGGGCTGGTCCGATCCACTTCAAAGAAACCAGCAAGCACTGCTCTTGCAGTGACGGCAATGATCTCCTCCGCAAAAACACCGCAGCCTCCAAAAACAGGTCCAATTTTTCAGCACAACTTGTGGAAAATGGGTCTGATCAACATGGTGAAATTATAGCCTTAACTTTGAGCCGAAAAAAATGCATCTTTCTCGCTTCTTTTGCCGCTTGCATGGGACCTGTCTCGCCCGCTTGCCGAAACTATACACACATGGAAAACAAACATGTGGGCCACGACAGCAAGCACGCTCAAAACAACATGGTGTCTCCATTTTGTTTTCAAAGAGGTGCTGAGCGCTGCCAACATATATGCATGCGGTCAGCTCAGTTTGACAGCCAGGACTGTCCAAATCGCCGTTTTTTTGCGTCAAAACAATGGCACACAGGCCGAAGGATCGGTGCGGGGGCCGGGAGGCATCTCAACTGGCAGAACGTGGGTCCTTTTGAGGCATCCCATGTCACTTCTTTGCGGAATTTTAGGCCTTCCTTCACACGACATCACTTCACCAGAAAAGCGTTTTGGCCACCCGTGTTCACTGGACAAGCTCCTCTGTTTTCATATAGACAAAGTAGTTCGAAGGATGGCACGCGGTAGTAAGATTCTAATTATAGCAGCACCGTTGCAACTTAAAGCTGATCACGGAACCAATGAAGCTACCTCTGCGGCTAAACATGCAATGTGCGAAAGGCGCACGCAGAGTGTTTTGTTTTCGGCGCTGCATCATATCAAAGCCGAGCCTTTTGCTGGATCAAGCTGATCTTTGTACATACTGTCAGAGTGATCACTCACTCCCCAATGGCGGTCATGCATGTGGCCAGAAAGTGATCTCGCTCGTCTTGGCCCAGCAAAATTCCTGCACGCATTCCGAAAGCGATGCAGTTGGTCTTATCCATATTCTTCAAGTCCTCTGGCTTCTTGAACGAGTGCATGTCGATTCTGCGCGGGAGCTCCTGGCGAACAAACTCGACCATAGCATTGGCGGTTGTCATTGAGGTGAATGAAGGGGTCTCATTGCAATCCGTCAACTGAACTCCACTCACGTTGATTTTTGACAGGTGCATCAGCGCCTGGCTCTTGCTAGCAAACAGGTTCACCCGTACGCAATCTGTCCAACGTTCCGCAAAGAGAAAGCCGTACTTCCTGCCCTCTGCGTCAAAATCACCTGCAATCAAAATCCCCGCGTGGTAGCGAGGCCGGCAATCTGCCCCTCCCTTGCCAATCAGGAATGAGTATGTGAAGGGAACCTTCTGATTCGTGATTGTTGTGCCATGCAACACAGCAGACACAAGAGTCAAAGATGATATGTCAGTCTGGCTTTTGATCTTGAAGGTCAACATCTGATCCGGGCTGCTCTGGTCCTGTGGAATGTCAGGAGCTGGACCACATGAGCAGTTCTGCATGACCTCTGCGAAGGCACAAGCGGCACCTACTGCGAAGAAACCACCAAGCACAGCTACTGCCGTGACGGCAATGATCTCTTCCGCAGCCACCGCAGCCCCCACTCCAAGAGCAGGTCCCATTTCTCAGCACAACTTGTGGGAAATGAACTAAGCTTTGAGCCGAAAAACTTGCGTCATTCTCGCTTCTTTTGCTGTTTTCAGCCTAAAGCCTCTCTCGTCCACTTGCCGGTCTCTACCGCACACAGGCCCGTCAGAGTCACGCCTTTGTCTTTCGTGCTTCTCGGCCGCCGTTTGGCTGGGAGGCATCTCAACTGGCACAAAAAGACCCACATGTCATAAATACAATTGGAGATTCGTGGTAGTGGAAATTTGTCGGTGAGTTCTGTCTACAATCGATGACTTCTCACATGTCAGATTTTTGCGGCATTTCATGAAAGGCCTTCCTTCACGCGACATCACTTCGCCAGAAAAGCATGTTGGCGGCCCGTGTTCACTGGACAAGCACGTCTGCGAAAAAACGGACAAAGTAGTTCAAAGGATGGCTCATGTGGTAATGAATGTAAATGAGCTGAAGCAGCACCGTTGTAACTTAAAGCTGGTCACCGAACCGATGGAACTAGCTCTGCAGCTAAACATGCAATGTGTGAAAGGCGCACGCAAAGTGTTTTGTTTTCTGCGCTGCTCGAAATGTTGTCTCCTCGCATGTCCTCATATCAAAGCCGAGCCTTTTGCTGGATCAAACTGATCTTTGTACATACTGCCAGAGTGATCGCTCACTCCCCAATGGCGGTCATGCATGTGGCCAGAAAGTGATCTCGCTCGTCTTGGCCCAGCAAAATTCCTGCACGCAGTGCAAAAACAATGCAATTGGTAAATCGCATTTTCTTCAAGTCCTCTGGCGTCTTGAAAGAGCGCAAATCCAACTTGCGTGAGAACTCTTCATGAATAAACTCAACCATAGCATTGGCTGTTGTCAGGGAGGTGAATGAAGGGGTCTCATTGCAATCCGTCGAATCAACTGTGTTGGCATTGATGCTTCGCAGGAGCATCAGTGCTTGGCGTTTGCTTTTGAAAAGATTCACCCGCACGCTATCTGCCCAACGCTCAGCGAAGAGAAAGCCGAACTTCCTGCCCTCTGCGTCAAAATCACCTTCAATCAAAATTCCCGCATGGTAGAGATGCTGCCCATCTGCCTCTCCCTTGCCAATCAGGAATGAGTAAGTGAAGGGAACCTTTTGATTCGTGATTGTTGTGCCGCGCAACACAGCAGACACAAGAGTCAAAGATGATATGTCAGTCTGGCTTTTGATCTTGAAGGTCATCACCTGGTCCGGGATGTTTTGGTCCTGTGGAATGTCAGGAGCTGGACCACATGGGCAATTCTGCACTGCATGTTCAAAGGCATGTGCTGCCAAATAGGCCGTCCCACCACCAATCACCACTGTCCCGATGGCAATGGCAATGATCTCCTCTGCGGCCAGCACACCAAGAGCAGGTCCCATTTCTCAGCACAACTTGTGGGAAATGGATGAAACTGGTGAGACGTGAATCAGACCTATATCATTCCAGCCTGGAGCCGCTGGTCAGGTGCTGAGCAATCAGTTGTGATCACCTCTCAATGACGACGTTGGCTCATTTGAGTATTTCAATACGGAGACCCCCGGTCGCCCCGATCGGTTGGGTAGACTGATCTATATGCCGAACCGAACCCAGGGGATCTTTGGGAGGTCTCCCTACGTCCCTATTTTAATTCGCACCCAATTTGATTGTCAACAACTGATTCCAAACGTGCTAATGACTAATGAATGGTCCACCGGTCCGCGCCTCAGCCATGCATGTGCTCATGGCATGTCCAAGGTAGCAATTGCAAAGCTAACACATAGATAGCTCTCCCATCGGCTTGACAGTCACTAAAGATATTATACATTCAACGCCCATACAGGCAGCATGTAGGGCATGGCTTGACAAAATGGACCTCTAATCCATACTGCTTGCAAATTGGGGGAGGCGGAAGTACACATGACGAGCTGCCCTACTCACCTTGACGAGCCATGTGGCTGAAGGAAGAACAGTTTGGACAGGTCGGACAGGAGACCTTGGTGCCCTTTCTGAACAGAACCTGAAGTGGACTGTCCCAGTTGGGTACTCCAGGTTATGAGTCCCTTTAAGGTCACTGAACCTCGCATGGTGAGCTTATCGAAGAGTCAATCAGTGCTGAGCCATGAAGTTGCCTAGGTTGGCGACCCTTCGATCAAGTGCTGTAATGATGGCAAATGCAAGGACCTGATTGATTTCATGTTCATCCACTTACTTAAATCAGTGTTTGTTGAAAGGGGAGTATCATGTGCCCAACCTCTGCAAGAAAGCACTTGAGGCCCATGATCCGAGCTCTGATCTATCTCGGTAACCAGTGGCCTTTCTCGGAAGCTCATTGAGCTTCCTATTCTCAGGTCGATCTTGTCGATGCGAAACAGTCAGGTTGATCGAACACACGACGCACAGATCGATGCAATACGACGGGTAGCCCGACACGCGGTGTGTCGTGATGGAGGGCTCACACGCATCTTCCCCAACTTGGTAGCGATCAACAGAATAGGACAAAAGGATCACGATTCCTGGCTCCACTCTCCGAGTCTTCGCCATGTTTCTCCAATGTATGTTTGTTCTTAAGCCCTGTGGATCAAGCTATCCAACTCTAATTACGCGCGTTTAGTGTGCTATCACTACTGAACACCGACATCATAAAGTCATAGACTGTTATACATCGGCAGGATGTGGAGATGGAGAAAGGAGGAGACTTGCAGTTCCAAGATATTGGTGACACAGCACTTTCAATTTCTTACAATTGCAGCATGCTGATATATGCTGATCATGCTCACTGTTCAGAGCCTGGACCCCTCATGTATTTGGCAATAGAAGCAAAATGTTGTCTCACTACCAAGCACACATGAATTCATGTACTGTATGTACTGCTTGCATTACGTGGTCAATCCCTCCCTCCTTCCCTCCAAACATGCATTTCCTCAGTATCAACACTCTATATTTATATGCTGAAAGTAAAGGTTCACTATACCGCTGAGGGGAAACATGTTTTACCAGGTGGTGCAAGACTTCGTCCTTAATGTCCTTAATCCATCCGATCAAACAGCATCCTTCGACATGTTTGGACGGTTGCCGCTATTCATCTCCGCTGTTGGCAGCGTTGACCCCCTGTTTTCCAACCCTGCAGTTGAAGCCTACAAACGAATCAAATGAAATACCCTTTGACGCTGCAATACCTGCACATATGAGTGCATGATCTGGTGATCTTCACATAAAACCTCTGTCTCTCCGAAGAGCTTCACGTTTTTAAACGCCGAAGAAGTCCGGTCGACACAGTCCATGCGCCGCGATCCCTCTGCACGGGGATGGAGCCGGCAGCAACAGGGGCGGGAGAGGCTCTCGGTGTGTTGCATCCGTCTGTATAGCTGGACACCCCAACCTACGGGGTGTCTAATAGATTCTATTATACAGGTTAAGGTGTGTCCATGACTTGATCATGCTATCTACCGGTCGACCGGCTTACCTCTCTGCTTCAACCCATTTTCAGCATCTCTGCTGGCAGCTTGGCAGCGATTCGCCCCTTCTTCGCCCCCCAAGTCCTGTCACCGCCGGGAACCGGGAACCGCGGGTCGTCCGAGGTGCAACTTGTGAGCACCGCAGCACCGCGTGCAACGAGTCGTTCGATGAGCCGTCTGCAGGCGAATGGGCGTGGTTTCGAGACTCCACTTATGGTTGGAGGCCTGTTTGGTACTATAGAAGATCTCAGGAAAGGTCCACAAGCAGCAATTTGAGGAACCAAACCCTTGATGTCATTCACAAAATCCGTCCATGAATTACTCAGTACTGCATTGTTCCTTGTGACCTCAGCACCACAAAACGTTGGCATGTTTCCTTGATTACTCTTATAGACCTTTGGATCGCCGCCGACTTCTCTTGGGCGGCACCATCGAGTCGACTTCTCTCTGCGCTCATCGAAGATTTATCAGGGCCGAGGAGTTCGATGGAAGACTGAGAGTCGGCACGAGCCGACGTGGTGGAGTTCGTCGACAGTTGCCAAAAAAAACGATCTTCCAGACCTGAATCCCATGGGGTTCTGAGTGGTTGATCTCTTAGATCGAGAGACCCCTTTTTTCCCAAGCCCTGAACCCAACTGATTGGCTAAAGACTTCCATACCAGGACCCCCGGGCCATGGCGTGTCTAAGAATTTGCACCAATAAGAGGTTAAGGGATGTCACGGATATCCATGAACCACCACAAACCGGTGGGCCCTGGTAGATGGAATCAGACTTAGGAACATGGTGTGGCAAACGTCTTGCCACTTCGAAGACCCTGTTTGTAAATCGTGGGATTCAAACAAGGATATCTAATTCTACCGGTGCCTCAAATTCAGAGGAGCCGGAAGAACTCACGTCGTCCGTTTTCCCTACAAAACAGCGACACCAGACACGTCGGGACCAGGGGACCAAACAATCTCAGTCCAGCCCCAAAATGCCATGAACACGCAAATTCGACGGATTCTTATATGTTCAAAACCCTGCAAAACAAGTAAAGACCATAGGGTCGGTCTTCTTTCTTCATCCTTCTGGTGATTCCAACTCCTATGCCAGCTTGCTGAGGGAGATTGAATGTCAAGAAATAAGGGGGCCCATGGCATGTTTCAATACCTGGGTCTATCCTATTACCAGTGGATGATGATGGTTAGTAAGGGCCTTGTTCAAAAATAGTGATTTGCTTATATACTTGCTTGTTTACTGGCTGCTAACAGTACAGGTAAGTTCGGACAAACCCAATCAATACCCAAGACCCAAGTCCAAGAAACATATCCTAACATGACACGGGTCCATCAAGACTCGATGATGCTGTCACTTAAATATGTTTGTCATTGTTCGTCCTTATGTCCTTGGTAACCACCGCATGCAGCAAAAGACATCCCAAATACTCTTGGAGTCTCAAACTACTGTCAAAACTACACTTGCATGCTTCCATGCTTCCATCCTCCACTCCAGGGAGGCCAAATCCCGCACTCACTCTACCTGGCCTCCCAGTCGGGTTGCCCCGGCCAATTTGCTTTTCACCGAGCATGCTTGAAGCTGAGTTTAGCCCGATGCCCCTCACTTTGGTCGCGCGAGAGCCATAAAGTCGTGCGACACTGGAGGCACCAGCATGTCCTTGGAGCCGTCCGGATCTGTGCAACACATGGACAAGACCCGGGTCCAGATCAGGGTCACACTCACGGATCGATCCGCTCGCTTCGCTGTTGGGTGGAATTTTGTGTGCCAACTCGAACCAAATGATGGCCTCGGAGTCCATGTTGAAGCCGAAACACTCCTCACTGATCATCATATCCTACGGTAATTATGAAGGACACTCCGTTGTTTTCCCATTCTGATGGTACATCACCGTCTACCCAAATTCCAACATCTCCAACCGCCCAAATCAGACCAAATCGCCCTTCGCGCCTTCCTTCCCCGTCCGCCCGCGGGTCGCCGAGTGGCCAAAAACTGCTTTTCCGAATTCAAGCGCCTGGCTTGCAGGACACCTCTCAAGTTCGAGACGTCCTGGGCATCGCCGGGGGAACGTGCATTTTGCGGCGGACATGGGTTTTGTTAAGGGACCGGAGGTCTCGAGGCGTGACAAACGAAGCATGGAACATAGGGTGAAGGTTGGGTAATAGGGTGTTTTAGAAAAAGTGCGGTTTTCGAAGTCCAGCACCATCCAACGCTGCATAGCGGTCAAACAAAGGTAGAAAACATTTCTCTGCCAATTTGATGCCCCTGGGTGTGGGAAAAATGGAGCAGTTTTCCATTCAAGACACACTTCAATTGCGGGTCCACATGATTATTGGCGATTGTTGGTTGTAAAATGCTTCTGTGCTAGTCGGTTTGGGATGTTCTCTAGAATGGATCTGACCTTCTTCAAAAGGGATGAACAAGGTTCGCCACACCCAAGCTACTACCCCAGCTGGTATAGTACTATATAGTTCACCATCTTCGGCTCACTGGACACTGAAACCGCTGCCGTTGTTCTCCACCGCGACCCGGCGAGGCGTTGCGGAGGGGCCGTGCGGAGCCCGCTCGCCTCATGTTTGCTGGAGGCCGCCGTTGGGGTCTTTTCATGGAATTGCATGGCACGTTGCCCAGGACAACCTCAGTTCACACCAACTACTCAAACGATCTGAACCCAAAAATGAAAACAAAGGGGGGGGTTCTTCTTTGGAACCTACAACATCTACAACACGCTGGTGATTCTCCTCCAAATTGTATAGATATATTAGCTATATATATATATAGATATCTGAAGGTGACAAGTAAGTGGATTCAGTTGCTGGAGCTACAACTAATCGTCAGTCCTGAAGGTTTGGGTTTAATCGTACGTACAGTATATGAGCTTTTGTGCGAAGTCTTTTGGTGATTCTTGAATCAAGCCGCATGACATGGAAAGAAAGAAAGAACGAAAGGGGCCGTTCGTGTGGTGTGCAGAAGTTTGTTGGAGTCTTTGCTCTTCATACCGCAAACAGTGGGTACTTGGCAATGACTCTGAGGCTGCGCTCATCGGTTGGGAAAGGGATACTGGGCCAAATGATGCAATGATGGTACCCAAAGTTTTTGCGAAATCGCGAGTTCAAATTGTCATGGTTAATATAACCATTTGCATGCATATCTGCAGTTGATAAACCGACATACCGGAAATAGATGGAATATATAGCCTATATTGGAAAGTTCAAACGTACTGTAGGAAACTGGTCATTGATCTTTCATTCGAGTCATATTCTATCTACTCCAGGACAGTGTATGTCATTTAGCAGAGGACAACGATATGTCTTCGGTCTTCAGTCCCTGCAATCCACGTTCTTTTTCGTGGACGTCAAATAACCCACAAACACGAATCCGAACACCCTCCACTCACGGGTCTGGCCGAAGAAACAGAAGCGGCCATCAGTGCCCAAGTTCTTGCCCTGATACCTGGACGCCGAACGGGTTCCCGTCCGAACCCAGGGAGGCCGAGCCGAGCCGAGCTTACACGGAAAGAGGCCGAAAGGATACACAGGAGGTCGGGTCAAGAGGATGGAACTGATGGAACTGATCATAGGGTCATGAACAGCCTCAGGATGACCCCTCGAAAGTGAACTTATGAAGAACTGACCACACTTTCACCACTTCCACCACGACCTCGACTTCGGTCATATCGCTCGTCCGAGTCCAAACGAACCACGTATACTGTATACTGTTTCGGCTGAGATCTGCCGGCTGTTCCATAAATCGTGAGTGGAGAGGAGACAAAACACAAGGTGTTTGATTTCCCCTGTTGAATTCGGTCTTGGATCATCCAAAAGGACGAGTGTTTGGGATGATCCAACCTGTCCAAGCATGGCTTTCAATATCCAAAGGGGACGGGAAAACTGGGTCATCCATACTTGGAGTCCGTTCAACCATGTCTTTTTTCTGGCTGAGCCTGTATTCTGCTGCTGCCCTCATATTAGTTTGCAATGCTATGTTTTTAATGATGTATGGCACCATATATGTTTTGTTTGAGTGATCTTGTTGGATCTTGTTGGTACATTTATTGTTGGTAACCTCACTTCTCCACCAATAGCAAGTTGTTTTTGGCAAATATAGAATTGCTGTTGGTCCGTCCACCTCGCTGTTGGTCCGTCCCACAGGTTGAGTGTCAACAGTCCTGAATCTGCCCATGGATCATGGCATGTGGCACCCCAGTTTGAGCAGGAATCCAACTAGCCATGACTGCTGGTGGCAGTGGCCATCTTTTCCTTTCAAATCTAACAACATCAAGCTGGATCCCTCCCACAGACAGGCTCATTGCCCAGGGCACGCCATGCCATACCACACACACTCGTCCTGTCCATCATCAGCCTGGATCCGTCAGCTCTGGAGAACCAAGGGCCTTGAGCCCTTCAAACCAAGGGAAGCCCCCTTTTCAAAGCATTGGACGTGTTTTTCTATTTGGTCCGACAGGAAAAAATCAGCCAAGCCAAGCGCTCGGAGTTGGTGTTTCAAAAGGAGCCTGGCCTCGCTTGTGTCGTCACAAGTTTGGCTCTACAGCCACCAGTGGAATCCGCACCGTGAACGGGTGCACCCAACATGAGTCGGACGCCCGCGACGAGGAGCGAGATCTGGACCTTGAACCTCTCGAAATTATTCGATCCTTCTGGAAAAGCAACATCACTCCATGTATGACATATAAACCTACATTGACATGATAATTGGATCTAATTGGCTCAACTTGAAAAACCACTTAAAGCTTGAATTCCCCTGTAGAGGTACACCCATTCAGCTTCGTGTCTTAGGTGCTACGACCCAGTACCGCACAGGAACTGCGGTGACGACTCAAAGACACCCATCTTCGACCCGCTCTCTGCACGGTCCCGGTGTCTCCCCCATGGTCCGGTGCCTCCCAGATGGCATAGGGTTCCAAGCAAAAGGTGTGCAAGGTCATAATCAGCTGCGCCCTCAAACACACGGAACGTGCTCTTCCCTCCTGGCCGGTTTGGCTGGTCAATGGGTTCGAGAAACAGTGGACTTCTTGAGAGATACAGAATGTTGCTCAGAAAATCATATGCTAATTTCTACTGGCTTTCCCATAATCCGGCTTTTCACACACATGGCCAGCAAAAGCTTGCACACGATGTCCACCGGATTAAACCTGCGCGGCTCTAGCAGCTCTCGCTCACGCTCCCGCTTGGCCGATGCAGGAACCAGCTCTCCTCCAGCTGCGAGAGCTTGGGCAAGAGCTGATGGAAGAGTCCATGCGCTTGGCTCGGAGTCAACAAGACCTCCGGGTCGTCCGAGACCGTCCGCACGTCGCACCGGACTCGGGAGCGACGGACGAGAGAGGACGAGGTGCGGAGGAGCTTGGTGAGTGAAGCAGAGGTGAAGCTCAAAGACTCAGGAGGCCATGGGACATCATGGGACTGGAAGATCACCTGGGATGTAATCCCGAAGCACTCTGATGTAAGACATAGATGTAAGTGGGATGATTGGAAGGTAAAGATCACTGGACTCTGACAATACATAACTGTACGTGGTGACATTCAGGGCTGTCACAAAATCATGGTTGCATACCCTGTGATTCTGCACTCATATGCGGGTCCCTCGGTTCCTTGCGGAACGCCGGTCCAGCCATCTCGCACCTTGTTCTTGTACAAATAGTTTGCCACATCTTTGTAGGTGATACCTCGCCGGTGTGGACCAGAGGTGGTTTCCGCACAAGCTATACAGCAAGCACAAGTCCTGGTGTTTCAGCACGACCGTCCTGATCATGTGTAGTGGCTGACATGCCCAATCTTGGGGTGGGGGGCAGTTCTTGAACATGTCTGACCTGGGTATCAGACTCAGCAAGTTGACTCTCAACATGGTTTGAAGCCCTGGTTTGCTGGTTTGAGGTTTGAAGGCTGAACATGTTGATCAGGTATCAGGAAGAATCTGGCACAGCATCGTCCCAAACCTTCAAACAATCGTCCCTCATGTCACTTGACCTCTGTGGCTTGGAACTGCAGTCCCAGCAGTATACTGGTGCTCGAAAGTCCGTACTGATGCTGATCAGTGCTGGTGCTTAGCTACTGCTTAGCTATTCCTTACCTGCCCCAGATCATACCAGCACTGATCAGAACATTAAGAACTTCAGCCTTGCCATGCTCCAATCATGCTCCAATCATCACCTCACCCTCACCAGTTCATCTTTCCCTCTCAAAACTGGCGAACAAAAAAGACCACCCACACCCAGCCTTCAGCCCCCAGCGGACGCTTCGCCCGAGCCCCCCCCCCCAAAAAAAAAAACCGGTCGCGCGCGAGGCGATGAACGGCCGCCGTGCCTTTGGGGTAGCGGCTCAAAACGTGCCGGTGCCCACGGAATTCGCTCTCCGGCATCTGGAGCCTCGCAAGACAAACGGCGCCCACCGGGCTCAGCCCGGAGCCCGGTTTCGTGCCCGGGTTTCACGGTGTTTTCGTTTTGTTTAGAAACCGGTCCCGGGCGCCGTGATGCTTGAGGGTTTGCGGGAATGACGGGTGGGGTATCAGTCAGAGATTGAATGATTTTGACATGGATTACAGTAAAATATAGAGTGGTTTCAGAGTAGATGGCACAAACCTCAAGATGTTTTTGACATGGGGGTCCATGTCAAACACTTTTGGGGGATTGTGCCACCTACTCTACAGAACATATCTCCCAATGAAGTTGTAACTGTGGTGATTCCATGAGGTTGAACATTGGCTTGAAACTTGGATCTGACTTGGCTTGAACATACTTGAACAAGAGTAGGCAGAATGCCCCATTTGGGGCAAAATCAACAATTATCAGGTCAAACATCGTCAAACAAAGAACATGAAGATAGATGTTGTCATTTTTTTCATCACTATCCAATCGTCGAATCTTGCAGCCTATTGGGACTTGTATCCTCTTTGTTAAACAACTGTGAAGTTGTGGGTGGCTACCCGTTCTTGAGCTTGGTCGTATTTGAGTTGCACCCTTTCAAACACACAACCACCAAAGTGTGATCAAACTTGCTTGGACCAGGGCAGTCAAACGGAGGATGCTACATTGTGAGGGCCAAAGCTTGTTCTACCTTGCAAGATGCTTGCAATCCACATCAAAGCAATTCAGAAACAATGTAGTGCATTGCACCAGTTAGAATGATCGGTGGAGCTGCCTACAAGTCATACATTAAACCACCTGGGACTGAACACACACTCTGACACTGGTTTTCAGTTAACGCAAGTCACGTTGAGAAGGAAGGTGAGAGAACAGAAAGGTGCATAGGTCCGAGCACTTGAAAGGTTTAACATTGTTGTCACAAAGGCGGCAGCGAGCAAATCAGCGGCGCAGCTGCTGGGGACGAATAGGTTTGTGGGAAGTATCATGCAAACGACCATGAATCAAAAAAGGAAAATTGGAGTAACAGCTTGTGGAGAAACGAGCAGGTACACAGGGATGATCAGTCCCTGCTTCCCCTTCTTGTCCATAGCTTCATTGCGTGTGGTAGGACAAGAAGGCCACACGCCCCTGCCTGTGTAAAGTGGAAAGAGTGGTGGTGAAAGACCCTTTGTCCAGGGTTGGACACACACAGATCGCCGCATTCGGCGCTTTTTTCAAAAACCGGTGGCAGGCGTGGTAATTATGCCCCTTTTGGATATATAGGTTCACGAGTTCAGCCGCAGCAGCTTCAGCGCTGGAGGGTGGAAATGTGTATTTTCGAATGGTGTGGAGTCGTGATTGGAGGCCTGATAGAGCCAAGCGCTGGCTCCCGGCGGTTGTGGAATCCCGGATTTTCCAGGGTTGAGAAGGTTGCATGTAGGTGATAGTGCGTTGTGGGAGGTCGATGTTGAAACCGAGGAGATGAAAATCCTCCACCGGTTCGAGTTCCACAGGGTCGCCAAAGAAATTGTGGTGGATAAGGGTTTGGATAGCCGGGTGCTGAAGGAAATGTTCGTTGTGGACAATGAAACGGTTGTCAACATAGCGATAGTAAGTAAAGTGGAGGTCTGTGTGTTGAAGGAGGTTGTTGTGTATCTGATGCCAGGAGTGCTCAATGAGGGTGATAGCAACGTTGCAAAGGGCTGGAGAGAGCTGGGATCCAATCCCGGCCCCTCGGATTTGTTTGTAAGTGTTGTTGCAAGCCCGGAAAATGCATGTGTCGAGGGCAAAAGCCACAATGGTGGTGATGTCGGAAGTCTGGATGGTGCGTTGGGTAGGGTGTTTGCGATGGTGTCTGCCAATGTGGGAGTGGTGGAAAGGATTGCCGGTGGCCTGGACATCCACCGTTAAGGTGTGTGTGGATTGCTGTTGTTGCCAGTGGAGAACAAGGGAGTGGACTGCATCGATGAGTCGGTGCTGGGGAACGGAGTTGAAAAAGCCGACCAGGTCATCGTTGGTGGCGTGTAGTGAGATGTCGGGTGGGGTTTGGGTGAGGTAACTGTGAAAGTGGTGCCAAAGCTGAGGAATGGACATTTGGCCTGGATGCTGAGGGTAGAGGTGTTGGAGGATAATGTCGAGGGCACGGCTGGTGATGCGTAGCAAGTTGCCGCTTAGTGATTGGAAGTAGGATATGATTGTACGGCCTTTTTGCCAGTGCTTCTTCTCTTTAAGGTGGACAACACCGTAGGGGATGTTGAAGTCTTTTCGGAAGCCCCACTTGTAGCGGGTGCGCAGGATGGGGGGGACGGTGGCGGCCAGGTGGTCATGGATGTTGGCGGCAGTGATGTAGGGAAGCGGTTCAAATAGTTCGGGGGATTGCCAGGTGTTCAAGGCGCCAGTGAAGTATTGGCGAGGGCAAAACAATCGCAGTTGTTGGAGCTCATGATCGGCATGGTGGAGTAAAGTGTGTTGACCCAAATGTTCTTGGAGTTGACGAAGCAGGCGGGCCGTAAAACGGGGTTGCTGCTTGAGGTGTGTGTTGTGAAGGCGCCATTGGTGCTCAAGGAAAGGCTGTAGGTGTTGAACTAGGGATGGTGGAAGCCCTTGTAGTTTGAGCCATTTGGTGTAGGCCGTCTTGAAAATGAGGAAGTAACGAGCTTTGCTTGGGTAATAGGTACTGTTCATATTGGCGTTGAGGAAAATGCTGAGGTGTGTAGGGAGTTGGAGTTGGTCAAGTGTAAGGATGTAGTGGCCGTTGATGGTAGGGGTATCGGGATCCTGCAGGAGGGTGCGAAGGTGATCGCATGCACAGGGGAGGTCTGCTGGAGCTGGCGGGGAGTGGAGGGTGTCCTCCCATGTGCGATGGTTGTGCAGGTGGGAGCGGAGGGTTTTGTGGGCGGCTTCCCTCAGTCTGTGGGAGGGGAGGTGGAGGGGAATGGTGAAATGCTTGTGCTGCTGGATGGTAGTACGAAGCCATTGTTGGCAGTGCTTGGTAAAGTCGTCATGGGCCAAGAAGGGCACTGTCAATGGGATGTTTGGTTTTGGTGGCGTGAGGTTGCGGTAGATCAAGGCTTTGTTGAGGATGTGAAGAGCTCGGCTGCGGCCAGGTTCTTCCAAGTTTGCGGCCATACGCCGGATTGCATATACCTCGAGGTCCGTGTGGCGGCCGCTTCTTAGCTGTTTTGCTGCCTCAAAAGAGGCTGCGGTGTGTTTGGTGAGGTTGCGAAGAAGTTGGAGGGCGTGATGCTTAGTGGAAGTGTAGAGGTGTGGTTCTCTGAGGGTGTACTGGCGTTGTCGAAGGCGTCGGAAAAGTCGTTTGTGGGTGGCTAATCTGGAGTAGAAGTGGGCTCTGTGTTTCGCGAACTGCCATCCCTGAGCTTTGAGTTTGAGGTGGTGGGAAATGAAAGGCCAGTTGAGTGAAGGCATCCAATTGGCGATGTAGTGGTGCTCTTGGATCCAGGCTTGGTCGTATGTGTCATGGGAGGTGAGTTGAATAGTGGTGTAGTGGTGGATGTTGTTGTGTGAATGCCAATAACGTAAGGAGAGTTCTGCAGAAATGGGAATGTTATTTTGGAGTTGTTTTAGTTTGGCGCGGCGATTGTGCTCGCGGTGGGGGATGCCGATAGCTGTGGAGCCAACGTAGAAGTGGCCATGTTGATGGTAGCAGCGTTGGGGCTGGTCGGGATTGAAGTGGAGCTTGATGTAGACGGAATTGGAAGAGAGGAAGTTGTGGTAGTGGTAGGTGTGGGGTAAAATGTGGAGCTGGCGGAGACGGTTGCGCCATTGTTGTGAGCGACGGGTGTTGGACGGGTATGCGAAAAGGTGGGTGATGTGGATGAGGCCGGTTGCAAAGATGGCCTCGGCGCGGTCGATGTATTGGGTGCGGTGGATGAGCATGGAAAGTGCTCGGTGCAGGTGGAAGAGTTGGGTGAGGTTGGTGTGGCTGGGTTGCTGCTGGGCCAAGATGGCGAGTCAGCAACCAATGGCTGCTCCGACTCCCACCAGCTGTTGTAGGCTGCGAATGGGGAGTCGGTTGACCCGGTTGAGGGGTAGGCCATACTTGGTGGCTGCTTCTTTTAGCTGCTGCGTGGTGACTTTGCTTGTTTGCAGCAGTCGGATGACCTCCGTGGCAGCTTCTTGGACGGTGGGGTCGAAGGTAGTGACCCATTGTTGGATCTCTGGGTGGTTCCAGCCTTCGGGGATATCGTCTTGCAGCGTGGGGTGTGGTGGTTGCAAGACGTCGGTGATGGCTGGTGGTTTCGGTGGTGGTGGCGTGGGTGCGTGAGAAGGGGCGGCTGGTGCGGAAGATCGGCTGGTGTTCTTGACTGGTGTGAGTGGGTTGCCCAGGTCGTGGAGTTTCTGACGTGCACGAGCCAGTTCGTCGTTGGTGTTTTTGAGGGCGCGTAGGGCGGAGCCTTCCGCAGGTGCTGGAGAGTGGGTTTGCAGTTGGTCGATAAGCAGTTTGATGAGGGGAGCGTGAAACGCTCGGGCATGGGTAGTTTTGTTGGGAATGTCTGTGCTCTGTTGAGTGTGGAGAGCCTCCGCGATGCCGTCAAGGTCAAGGCGGTTCTCGCGGAGTTGTTGGAGAAAATGGGTCACGAAGACCGACTCCGCTATGCTTCTGGTGGCAATGAAACCTGTGAATTTGCCGTTGCTCAGGGTACGGGCGGTGAACTCGGAGGTACCGTGGTAAGCCAATTGCCACGGGAAAACCTCAAAGGTGGGGAGGCCGGCCACTCCTGCTTTTCGAGACCACTGGGTGGGTTGAATTGTACGATGTAGTTGGTGGCCGTGCAGGGTGTTGGAGTCCCAATGTTGCTCGGTTGGGTTCCAAGAGTCGGGAACAGGTGGTGTGGGAGATGGGATGTGTGGGGGCGGTGGGGCAGGCGCTGTGTTGCCACGTGTGGTGGGTGGTGGCGGTGGGCTGTGTTGGAAAGTCGATGGTGGTGGAGTAACGGGTTCGGCCGTTGGCAGGGGTGGCGGTGGCGGAGGTGGAAACTCCGGCTGTGAGGTGGATGCCTGGG